TTAACCTTAACCAGTTTAATTTTTTTCTCATTGCAGGGGATGATAAAAAGAAATAATTTGAGAAAATTAAGTAACAATATCCTAGTAAAGGGAGAACAGTCTCATTTACCATCATGTATTCAGTAACGGATAACTCATTCTAATGGCTTCTATTTTTGGCTAAATGAAAATTAAGCCAGTGCCTGAGACCGTCAGAAGCTTACATTGGCATTAAAGAGTCAGAAAAAGAATCATGGAATTTATGAATTAAGATAAGAGGTATGGCTTTTTATTTTCAGTCAATGACCAATTACAGTTCAGCTGTTGACTGAGAAGGTTGCAGTGGGTAAACATTTGCCATATCTTCTTTTCATTTGAGTAATTCTCTTGCACTTAGAAAAAAAGGCGTCTATAAATGACCAGTGTTTTTGGTTATCAAATGCTGCTGACATTTACCCCAGAACTTTAGTGGCTTAAAACAACCCCACCCCTAACTGTTCTTCAATCTGTGCTGGGTTCAGCTGGGCTGTTCTTCTGCGAGGCTGCAGGTGACCACTCATGTGGTCAGCAAGTTGGCAGAGAGACTGGGATGGCTGAGCTTCTCTCTCTGCCTGCAGTCCTGAGGCTCTCCTTCTCCATGTAGTCTCCTTCAGTGGCCTGGATGGCAGGGTAGCTAGACCTCTCCCATGCAGCTTAGAGCTCCCAAGAGCTCGAAAGCAGAAATGATCAGGCCTTTTGAAGACTTAAGTCCAGAATTGTCACAGTGTCCCTTCTACTGCCCTCTACTGGTGATAATGATTTTTTTCTAATCAGAAGAGAATTGAAGTATGTCTTCTATTTACTAAACAAGCCACAAGCCCAGCCCAGATTCAAGAAAAGGGTGTTAAGTGGAGGTGGAGTTAATTGGGGACAACTAGTCCAACAAATGGTCACAACAAGTACCATGGAAAACTAAAGATATTAGCAAAAGTAGAAGTTGCTAGTGGCCTTGGGAAGCTGAGGCTGCTTACAGTACCTGGGACAAGCTGAAAGTCAGACTGAGAAATAAAGAGAGGGCCTTCAAGAAGCTTCCTGAATGATTTCTGCCAGCCCTGAGCCTATTTTTGGAACCAGAACTTAGGAAAACTGACCTGGACAGATATATTTAGGGACACAGGCCTTTTGAGAGAAGGACCACACCCAGAAGTGGGAAATATGACACTTTCTTAATGCCACTGGTTTTTAGCCAGGCCACAGTGAGAACACAGCCCTAACAGGCCTCCGGCCAGGTTTAACTAGCTCATTTTTGTTTCAGCCAACTGGCAAGATTTGCTGATGTTCTACCTTATGTGCCTTCTCCAAAGACATCCCTCATAAGCTGAATCATCATTCAGTGCAGATATTTCAATGAAAATATCATTGGTTGACTTTTGTAATAAAATAAAATGCCATGGTGTCTTTGCCATGAAGTTATGGTCTCCTTGGGTTCTTCTGACTTTGACTCCTGAAAGGAAGGCCTAGATCTAGCCCTGGTAATGGTTCCTTTCTGAGGTCTCTCAGTCCCTTGAGACCCTGAGGTAGTTTGGCTGCCATTCTTACAGACAAAAGGTACATGAGTCCCCACCATTGACCCCCAATATTCATTGAACTTTGAGTTGCTTCAGGACACAGGTGTGGCCTGAAGGTATTCTCTTATTAGATAAATGTCATAACTACTGTCTTCCTGTCAAATTTATAAAGAAAATGATTCTAGTTCAGTATTTGCAGCAAGAAGCTTGGATCCTGTTCTTTTTGTTGCATTGTTACATTGACTCATTGTCCATTTTGCTTTCGTTTTGTCTTGACTTGACTTTGGGGATAAAGTCTTTCACAAGCACACAAGAGTTCACATATACAAATGTATCTCCTGTATTAACATCTCTGCCTGTTGCTTAGGATCAGTTGTTTTTAAACTCAGAACGGAAATACTTGATCTTGGCTACCTTTGTTTATTATAAGATACTGATGTCATTTAGATTTCTCTCCACGAGGTCACCAAACTATCATGTTCTTATGTAAACTTAGGCCAAGACCAGAGTTATCATAGTCCCTAGGTTGCTAAGGCTTATCATGTGTTGGTAAAAGATAATCGCAGGTTCTCAGATGAGGTTACTTTACAAGGGACAGAATCAACAGAGAAGCTGGGATAATGGAAAAAGCTTGAGGTGCAGGTTTAAAAAAAAAAAAGTAGTGGAAATGAAAGTTCCAAAGAGGTGGTTTCTGAGGCAGTCAGAGAGCCCCGGGCCAGAGCAGTCAATAATTGGTGAATCAGGTTATTTGGAAAGTTGGTATGACAAACACATGGATGCCATCTACTTCTAGGTTGCTGATAGGTATTAAATATATGCAATATTCCATAGCTTACTGAGGATTATAAAATTATAAGCATAAGATTTTATATTTTGGGGTGAAAGAATTATTGGACACATGGTATTGGGGTTTAAAAAAATTCACAGTCTTAATAGCTTTTAAAAAATAAAAGATGCTTCATGTCTAGTGTGTGGCCCTTCTGAAACCTACAGCCATCTCTCCCACAGAAATCAAGGTCTTTTCAAATGTGTCTAAATGGGGATGAGAAAACATGGGTAGGACTTTCTTGGTGTGTGTGCATTCTTTAAAGAGACCAGTTGCCTTAGGGAAACAGCCAAGAAAATGGTCAAGATTATTTTTAGAGGTTATTCTACTGGGGATTTTAAGAACTAATAACATCTTGAGCTATTTTTAGTTCAGGGGAAAGAGGAAAGGTTTGCAACTGTGAAGTGTTTTGTTGTAGCTTAGTATACATAAGGGAAACGTAGATTGTAGACATAACTACAAAAGCAGTGCAATTTTTGTTTTCTGTATGTTGTTGGGGGGAATCAAGTTTTACATATAGCAAGAACATGGCCTCCATGATGTCAGGATGACTTTGCTAGGAAATGTATTTGCCCTTAATTTTGTTGAAGTCTTTGTTTCTTCTTCTTCTTGAAAAGTAAGTTCCAAAATATAGTTTATTGCATCTTTCAATACTAAAAAATTGTTCCACTTTTACTACAGCCAGTTGACACAAGGCAAAAACTATTAAACAGTTGGTTTTCACGTGTTGTATAACTTTTATGTGTTGTATAACCATAGCTCAGCAAGACCTATGCAGGGAGACGTGTCATTAGACTCTTTTCTCACTGGGCAAGGCATCTCTGAAAAAAGGCAGCAGCCCATCAGGGACTTATAAATAAAGCCCCCACCTTCCTGGGACAGAGCACCTAGGAAAAGGGGCAGTTGTGGGTACAGCTTCAGCAGACTTAAGGGTTCCTGCCTGGCAGCTCTGAAGAGAACTGCAGATCTCCCAGCACAGTGTTCAAGCTCTAATAATGGACAGATTGCCTCCTCAAGTAGCTATCTGACCCCTGTGTATCTGACTGGGAGACACCTCCCAGCAGAGGCCAACAGACACCTCATACAGGGGAGCTCTGGCTAGCATCTGGCAGGTACCCTTCTGGGACAAATCTACCAGAAGAAGGAACACACAGCAATCTTTGCTGTTCTGCTGGTGATTCTCAGGCCAAGCAGGGTCTTGAGTGGACCACCAGCAAACTCCAGCAGAGCTGCAGCAGAGGGCCCTAACTGTTAAAAGGAAAACTAACAAACAGAAAGAAATAGTTTCAACATGAACAAAAACAACATCTACTAAGAGACCCCATCCAAAGGTCACCAGCTTCAAAGACCAAAGGTAGATAAATCCATGAATATAAAAAGAACGTGCAAAAAGGCTGAAAATTCCAAAAAACATAAAGTCTCTTCTCCTACAAAAGATCACAACTCCTCACCAGCAAGGAAACAAAACTGGACAGAGAATGAGTTTGATGAATTGACAGAAGCAGGCTTCAGAAGGTGGGTAATAACAAACTTCTCAAAGCTAAAGAAACATGTTCTAGCCCAATACAAGGAAGCTAAGAATCTTGAAAAAAAGGTTAGACAAAATGCTAACTAGACTAGCCAGTGTAGAGAACAACATAAATGACCTGATGGAGCTGGAAAACACAGCACAAGAACTTTGTGAAACATACACAAATTTCAATACCTGAATCAATCAAGTGGAAAAAAAGGATATCAGAGATTGAAGATAAAGCCAATGAAATAAAGTGTGAAGACAAGATTAGAGAAAAAAAGAGTAAAAATAAATGAACAAAGCCTACAAGAATTACAGGATTATGTGAAAAGACCAAATCTACGTTTGATCAGTGTACCAGAAAGTAATGGGGAGAATGAACCAGGTTGGAAGACACTCTTCAGGATATTATCCAGGAGAACTTCCCCAATCTAGCAAGGCAGGCCAACATTCATATGATACTCCTTGAGAAGAGCAATCTCGAGACACATAATCATCAGATTCATCAGTGTTGAAATGAAGGAAAAAATGTAAAGGGCAGCCAGAGAGAAAGGTCAGGTTACCCACAAAGGGAAACCCTTCAGACTCACAGCAGATCTCTTGGCAGAAATTCTACAAGCCAGAAGAAAGTGGAGGCCATATTCAACATCCTTAAAGAGAAAACTTAAAAACTTAGAATTTCATATCCAGCCAAACTAAGTTTGATAAGTGAAGAAGAAATAAAATCCTTCACAGACAAGCAACTGCTGAGAGATTTTGTAACCACCAGGCTGGCCTTACAAGAGCTCCCAAAGAAAGCATTAAACATGGAAAAATGTTTAGGGTCTGTTGGGGAGGACTAGGGGAGGGACAGCAGGGAGTAGGGAGTTGGGGAGAAATAAAACGGGTAGAAATGCCACATATAGGTGACAGGGATGGAAGTGGCAAACCACATTGCCATATATGTACATATGCAGCAATCCTGCATGTTCAGCACATGTACCCCAGAACATAAAGTGCAATAAAATATATATTTTTAAAAATCTGGAGAGGAGGGGATCCAAGATGGCAGAATAGTAGCAGCTCTGAATTGCAGCTCCCAGTGAGCACATGGAGGGTGAGTGATCACTGCATTTCCAAATTTTTATTGCTCACAGACCAGGAGATTCCCAGGCAGAGGAGCACCACGGGTCTCCAGCATGGCTGTTTTGGCCAGCGCAGTGGCTCTCCACTCAAAAAACTCACACAGGTCTAGGCACTGTTTCAGCTGGTGACTGGAGTGCCTGGGAGACGAAGTTGCCCATTCAACTGATAAAAAGTCGACTGAAACAAGGAGCCAGGCCAGGAGCTTCCTGAATGAAACAGCACCATGAGTCTCCAGTGCAGCTGTTTCAGCCAGTGCAGTGGGTCTCCACACAAATCCGGGCACCTTTTCAACAGGTGACTGGAGTGCCTGGGAAACAGAGTCACCCATTCAACTGATAAAAGGGGGACTGAAATAGGGAGCCAGGCCAGGAGAATCCTGGGCAGAAAAGCACCTCCAACAGAGCCGGCACAGTGGGTCTCCGCATAAAATCTCACACAAATCCAGATGCCTTTTCAACTGGTGACTGGAATGCCTGAGAGACAGAGTTGCCCATTCAACTAAAAAAAAGGGGGACTGAAACAGGGGGCCAGGCCAGGAGATGCCCAGGTGAAAAAATGCCACAAGCCCGCAGCATGGCTGTTTCAGCTGGTGCAGTGAATCTTGGCACAAGAACTCACAGAAATCCGGGTGACATTTCAACTGGTGACTGGAAGGCCTGGGAGACAGAATCGCCTGTTGAACTGAAAGAAAAGGGGTCTGAGGCAGTGAGCCAGGTGATCAGGCATGACTGGCCCCACCCCCACAAAGATCAGCAATCTGAAATGCTCTGGATTGAGAGTTTCACAGCAAGCACAGCTGAACCTGGGAGGATCCAGCTCTGTGGGGAGGGTCATCCGCCATTACCGAGGCAGTCCACCGCTACTGAGGTAGTCTGCCACTGCTGAAGTTGTCCGCCATTGCCAAGGTAGTCCACCATTACAGAGACAGTCTGCCATTACAGAGGTGGTCTGCCATTGCTGAGGCAGTTCTAACCATAACCCTATAAACAGAACTGCAGGGAATTTCACATGGCAGCTGGGCAGAGCCCACAGCAGATCAGCAATGGCTCTGCTGGAAGACTGTGACTAGGCTGCCTCCTCACTGGGCAGGGCATCCCTGAAAAAAGGCAGCAGCACAACAGAAACTTATAAATAAAGCCCTACCTTCCTGAGACAGAGCACCTGGTGGGGGGAATATCGTTATGAGTTCTGCTAAGGCAGACTTAAATGTACCTGCCCAGCAGCTCTGAATGGAAGAATGGAGCTCACACCTCAGCACTTGAGATCCTATAAAGGATAAACTGTCTCTTCAAGCAGCTTCCTAACCCCTTTATATCCAAAGAGTCACCTCATAAAGGAGAGCTCAGAATGACATCTGCCAGGTATCCTTCTGGGACAAAAATAGCAGAAGAAGAAACTGGCAGCAACTGTCACTGTTTTGCAGCTGCTGCAGGTGAGCCCCAGGCAAGTAGGGTCTGGAATGGACCTCCAGCAGTCCTGCAGCAGAGGGGCCTGACTGTTAGAAGGAAAACTAAGAAACAGTAAGAAATAGATGATGGCTGATTAGGAGCAGCTCAGGATTGCAGCTCCCAGTGAAAGTGCAGAGGGTGAGTGAACATCGCATTTCCAGATGAATTTTTATTGCCCACAGACCAGGAGATTCCCAGGCAGAGGAGCCCCACAGGTCGCCAGCACAGCTAGTTTGGCCGGCATGGCTGTTTTGGCCAGTGCGGCTGTTTCGCCAGTGCCCCCAGGGCGGTGGTTCTCCATACAAAATAAATGGGTCTGGCCACCATCTGGCTGCCATTTTAGATGGCGATTGGAGCTACGGGAAGGCAGAGTCGCCCATTCATCTGATTAAAAAGGGGACTGAAACAGTGAGCGAGGCCAGGAGACTCCAGGGCAAAAAAAGTGCCACAAATCTCAGTGCTGCAGTTTCAGCTGGTGCAGGCAGAGCGGGTCACTGCACGGGAAATCACACAGATCCCAGCACCTTTTCAACAGGCGACTGGAACACCTGGGAAAGAGTCAACCGTTCAACTAAAAAAAAAGGCTCTGAGGCAGGGAGCCAGGTGATCAGGCTCAGCTGGACCCACCCCCTCAAAAAAACAGCAATTAGAAACGCTCTGGGGTGAGAGTTTGACAGCAAGCACAGCTGAACCTGGGAAGGTCCAGCTCTGTGAGAGAGGGGTGTCCGCCATTACTGAGGCACTCCACCACTATTGAGGTAATCCACCACTGCTGAGGCAACCCAGCATTGCTGAGGCAACACACCATTACAGAGAGAATCTGCTATTACAGAGGTGGGCCACCATTGCCAAGGCAGTTCTAACTACACCCGTATAAACAGGACTGCAGGGAAGTTCACACAACAGATGGGTGGAGCCCACAGCAGCTCAGTAAAGCCTCTCCAGGCAGACAGTGACTAGGCTGCCTCCTCACTGGGCAGGGCAGCCCTGAAAAAAAAGGCAGCAGCACAACAGAAACTCAGAAATAAAGCCCTAACTCCCAAGGACAGAGCACACGGGGAAAAAAAGGGGTTTATGAGTTCTGGTGCAGCAGACGTAAACATACCTGCAGAGCAGGTCTAAAAGAACAATGGAGCTCAAAGCTCAGCACTTGAGCTCCTATAAAGGACAGACAGTCTCCTCAAGCAGCTCCCTGACCCCCATATATCCAAAGAGTCACCTCATAAAGGAGAGCTCAGACTGACATTTGGCGAGTATCCTTCTGGGACAAAGATAGCAGTAGAAGAAACTGGCAGCAACCCTTACTGTTCTGCAGCCACTGCAGGTGATCCCCAGGCAAGCAGTACCTGGAGTGGACCTCAGCAGTCCTACAGCAGAGGGGCCCGACTGCTAGAAGGAAAACTAAGAAACGGAAAGAAATAACTTCATCATCAACAAACTGGATGTACACTCAGACACCCAATCTGAAAGTCAACAACTAAAAAGATGACAGGTGGATAAATACACAAAGATCAAAAGAAATCAGCACAAAAAGGATGAAAACACCCAAAACCAGAACGCCTCTACTCCTACAAGGGATCACAACACCTCAACAGCAAGGGAACAAGGCTGGATGGAGAACGAATGTGATGAATTGACAGAATCAGGCTTCAGAAGAAACGTAATAAGAAACTTCTGTGAGCTAAAAGAACAGGTTCTAAAAAAATGCAAATAAACTAAGCACCTTGAAAAAAGATTTGATGAAATGCTAACGAGAATAGACAACTCAGGAATATAAGTCAATTGACGGAGCTAAAAAACACAACACAAGAAATTCCCCCGAAGCATGCACAAGTTTCAACAGATCAATTGACCAAGCAGAAGAAAGGATATCAGAGTTAAAAGATCAACTCAATGAAATAAAATGAGAAGACAAGGTTAGAGAAAAAAGGGTAAAAGGGAATGAACAAAGTCTCCAAGAAATATGGGACTATGTGAAAAGACCTAATCTACATTTGATAGGTGTACCTGAATGTGATGGAGAGAATGAATCCAAGCTGGAAAATACTATTCAGGTTATCATCCAGGAAAACTTCCTGAACCTAGCAAGGCAGGCCAATATTCAAGTCCAGGATATACAGAGAACACCACAAAGATATTCCTCAAGAAGAGCAAACCCAAGACATAATCGTCAGAATCACCAGGGTTGAAATGAAGGAGAAAATGCTAAGGGCAGCAAGAGAGAAAAATCAGGTTACTCACAAAGGGAAGCCCATTAGAATCACGGCAGATCTCTCAGCAGAAACCATACAAGCCAGAAGAGAGTGGGGGCCAATATTCAACACCCTTAAAGTAAAGAACTTTCAACCAAGAATTTCATATCCAGCCAAACTAAACTTCATAAGTGAAGGAAAAATAAAATTCTTTGTGAACAAGCAAGTACTCAGAGATTTCAACACCACCAGGCCTGCTTTACAACATCTCCTGAAAGAGGCACTAAACATAGAAAGGAACAACCGGTACTAGCCACTCCAAAAACATACCAAATTGTAAAGAGCATCAACACAATGAAGAAACTGCATCAACTAATGGGGAAAACAGACAGCTAGCATCAAAATGGCAGGATCAAATTCAAACATAACAATATTAACCCTAAATGTAAACGGGCTAAATGCCCCAATTAAAAGACACAGGCTGGCAAAATGGATAAAAAGCCAAAACCCATCAGTGTGCTGTATCCAGGAAACCCATCTCACATGCAAGGATACACAAAGGCTCAATATAAAGAGATGAAGGAAGATTTACCAAGAAAATGGAGAGCAAAAAAAACAGGAGTTGCAATTCTCATCTCTGATAAAATAGACTTAAAACCAACAAAGATCTAAGAAGACAAAGAAGGACATTACATAGTGGTAAAAGGATCAATGCAAAAAAGAAAAGAGAGAATAATCAAATAGGTGCAATAAAAAACGATAAAGGGATATCACCACAGATTCCACAGAACTACAAACTATCATCAGAGATTATTACACACAACCCTATGCACATAAACTAGTAAACCTGGAAGAAATGGATAAATTCCTGGACACTTGCCTCCTCCCAAGCCTAAACCAGGAAGAAGCTGAAAATCTGAACAGACTCATAACAAGTTCTGAAGTCGAGGCAAAAATTAAGAGCCTACCACCCAAAAAGCCCAGGTCCAGACGGGTTCACAGCTGAGTTCTACCAGACATACAAAGAGGAGCTGGTACCATTCCTTCTGAAACTATTCCAAATAATCCAAAAAGAGGGAATCCTTCCCAAATCATTTTATGAGACCAACATCATCCTGATTCCAAAACCTGCAGAGACTCAACAAGAAAAGAAAACTTTGGGCCAATATCCATGATGAACATAGATGCAAAAATCTTCAATAAAATACTGACAAGCCGATTGCAACAGCACATCAAAAAGCTTATCCACCATGATCAAGTAGGTTTCATCCCGGGGATGCAAGGCTAGTTCAACATATGCAAGTCTATAAACGTAATTCACCACATAAACAGAACCAAAGACAAAAATCACATGATTATCTCAATTGATGCAGAGAAGACCTTCAACAAAATTCAACAGCCCTTTATGCTAAAAACCCTCAATAAGCTAGGTATTGAAGGAACGTATCTCAAAATAATAAAGCTATTTATGACAAACCAATAGCCAGTATCATACTGAATGGGCAAAAACTGGAAGCATTCCCTTTGAAATCTGGCACTAGACAAGGATGCCCTCTCTCACCACTCCTATTCAATATAGTACTGGAAGTTCTAGCCAGAGCAATCAGGCAAGGAAAAGAAATAAAGAGTATTCAAATAGGAAAGGAGGAAGTCCAATTGTCTCTATTTGCAGACGACATGATTGCATATCTAGAAGACGCCATCGTCTCAGCCCGAAATCTCCTGAAACTGATAAGCAACTTCCGCAAAGTCTCAGGTACAAAATCAATGGCAAAAATCACAAGAATTCCAATACGCCAATAACAGACTTAAAGAGAGCCAAATCAAGAACGAACTGCCATTCACAATTGCCACAAAGAGAATAAAATACCTAGGAATACAACTAACAAGGAATGTAAAGGACCCCTTCAAGGAGAACTACAAGCCACTGCTCAACGAAATAAGAGAGGACACAAACAGATGTAGAAACATTCCATGTTCATGGTTAGGAAGAATCAATATTGTGAAAATGGCCATACTGCCCAAAGTAATTTATAGATTCAACGCTATCCCTATCAAGCTACCAATGACCTTCTTCACAGAACTTGGAAAAAAACACCTTAAACTTCATATGGAACCAAAAGAGAGCCCGCATAGCCAAGTCAATTCTCAGCAAAAAGAACAAAGCGGGAGGCATCACACTACCGGACTTCAAACTATACTACAAGTCTACAGTAATCAAAACAGCATGGTACTGGTACCAAAACAGAGATATAGACCAATGGAACAGAACAGAGGCCTCAGAGGCAACATAACATATCTACAACCATCCAATCTTTGACAAACCTGACAAAAACAAGCAATGGGGAAAGGATTCCCTGTTTAATAAATGGTGTTGGGAAAGCTGGTTAGCCATGTGCAGAAAGCAGAAACTGGACCCCTTCCTGACACCTTACACTAAAATTAATTCCAGATGGATTAGAGACTTTAACATAAGACCTAACATTATAAAAAACCCTAGAAGAAAATCTAGGCAAAACCATTCAGGACATAGGCATAGGCAAGGACTTCATGACCAAAACACCAAAAGCATTGGCAACAAAAGCCAAAATAGACAAATGGGACCTAATCAAATGCCGCAGCTTCTGCATGGCAAAAGAAACAGTCATTAGAGTGAATCGGCAACCAACAGAATGGGAAAAAAATTTTTGCAGTCTACCCATCTGACAAAGGGCTTATATCCAGAATTTACAAAGAACTAAAACAGATTTACAAGAAGAAAACAAACAAGCCCATTCAAAAGTGGGCCAAGGATATGAGCAGACACTTTACAAAAGAAGACATACATGAGGCCAACAAACATCTGAAAAAATACTCATCATCACTGGTCTTTAGAGAAATGCAAATCAAAACTACATTGAGATACCATCTCACGCCAGTTAGAATGGTGATCATTAAAAAGTCTGGAGAAAACAGATGCTAGAGAGGATGTGGAGAAATAGGAACACTTTTATACTGTTGGTGGGAGTGTAAATTAGTTCAACCATTGTGGAAGACAGTGTGGCAATTCCTCAAGAACCTGGAAATAGAAATTCCATTTGACCCAGTAATCCCATTACTGGGTATATATCCAAAGGAGTATAAATCATTCTACTATAAGGACACATGCACACGAATGTTCATTGCAGCACTGTTTACAAGAGCAAAGACCTGGAACCAACCCAAATGCACATCTATGGTACACTGGACAGGGAAAATATGGCATATATACACCATGGAATATTATGCAGCCATCAAAAATGATGAGTTCGTGTCCTTTGTAGGGAAATGGATGAACCTGGAAACCATCATTCTCAGCAAACTGACACAAGAACGGAAAATCAACAAGAATAAAATTTTTTTAAAAAGATAAAAAATGAATATAAAAACAAAAATAAGAACAGAAAATTAAACACCACATGTTCTCACTCATAGGTGGGTGTTAAACAATGAGAATACATGGACACAGGGAGGGGAACATCACACACTAGGGTCTGTAGGGGGGAATAGGGGAGGAACTGCAGGGGGTGAGGAGTTGGGGAGGGATAACATAGGGAGAAATGCAAGATATAGGTGATGGGGAGGAAGGCAGCAAACCACATTGCCATGTATGTACCTATGCAACAATCTTGCATGTTCCTCACATGTACCCCAAAAGTTAAAATGTGATAAGATATGTATTTTTTAATAAATAAAAATCTGGAAGATAAAGTGAAAAAAATTTCCTAGAACATAGTGCAAAATGGCAGACAGAAATAAAAAAAGGTTAAAATATGGAGGATATATCCAAGAGATCTAGTACCTTTATAATAAAATTTTTGAAATCAAAACATACAATGGAAGTGAGACTATAATAAAATGCATTTTCTTAAAATCGAAAAAAAACAACCATTACCAGCCACTGCAAAAACATAGCAAATTGTAAAGACCATCAATGCTATGAAGAAACTTCATCAACTAATAGGCAAAACAACCAGATAGTATCATAATGGCAGAATCAAATTCACACATAACAATATCAACATTAAATGTAAATGGGCTAATTGTCCCAATTAAAAGACACAGACTGGCAAATTGGATAGAGTCAAGACCCATCAGTGAGCTGTATTCAGGACACCCATCTCACACGCAAAGACAAACATAGGCTCAAAATAATGGGATGGAAGAATATTTACCAAGAAAATGGGAAGCAAAAAAAGGCAGGGGTTGCAATGCTAGTCTCTGATAGAACAGGCTTTAACCCAACAAAGATCAAAAGAGACAAAGAAGGATTTTACATAATGATAAAGGGATCAATGCAACAAGAGCTAACTATCCTAAGTATATCTGCACCCAATACAGGAGCACCCAGACACATAAAACAAGTTCTTAATGACCTACAAAGAGACTTAGATTCTCGCACAATAATAGTGAAAAACTTTAACACACCATTGTCAATATTAGACAGATCAACAAGACAGAAAATTAACAAGGATATCCAGGACTTGAACTCAGATCTGGACCAATAAGAACTAATAGACATCTACAGAACTGTCCACCCCATATCCACAGAATATACATTTTTCTCAGAACCACATCACACTTCTTCTAAAATTGACCACATAATTGGAAGTAAAACACTTCTCAGCAAATGCAAAAGAATGGAAGTCATAACAGTCTCTCAGAACACAGTGCAATCAAATTAGAACTCAGGATTAAGAAACTCACTCAAAACTGCACAACTGTACGGAAACTGAACATGTTGCTCCTGAATCATGACTAGATAAATAATAAAATAAAGGCAGAAATAAAGATGTTCTTTGAAACCGATGAGGCCTCAGAAGTAATGCCTACATATACAACCATCTGATCTTTGACAAACCTGACAAAAACAAGCAATAGGGAAGGGATTCCCTATTTAATGAATGGTTTTGGGAAAACTGGCTAGCGTTATGCAGAAAACTGAAGCTGGATTACTTCCTTATGCCTTATACAAAAATTAACTCCAGATGGATTAAAGATTTAAATGTAAGACGTAACACCATAAAAACCCTAGAAAAAAACCTAGGCAATACCATTCAAGACATAGGCATGGGCAAGGACTTCATAACTAAAACATCAAAAGCAATGGCAACAAAAGCCAAAAGTGATAAAGGGAATCTAATTAAACTAAGAAGCTGCACAACAAAAGAATCATTAGAGTGAACCATCAACCAACAGAATGGGAACAAATTTTTGCAATCTACCCATTTGACAAAGGGCTAATATCCAGAATGTACAAAGAATTTAAATAAATTTACAAGAAAAACAAAACCCCCATCAAAAAGTAGACAAAGGATATGAACAGACACTTATCAAAAGAAGACCTTTATGCAGCCAACAAACATGAAAAACAAAGCTCATCATCACTGGTCATTAGAGAAATGCAAATCAAAACCACATTGAGATACCATCTCATGCCAGTTAGAATGATGATCATTAAGAACTCAGGAGACAATAGATGCTAGAGAGGATGTGGAGAAATAGGAACACTGTTACCTATTGATGGGAGTGTAAATTAGTTCAACCGTTGTGAAAGACAGTTTGGCAATTCCTCAAGGATCTAGAAATAGAAATTCCATTTGACCCAGCAATCTCATTACTGGATATATACCCAAAGGATTATAAATCATTCTAATATAAAGGCACATGAACACATATGTTTTTTGTGGCACTGTTCACTATAGCAAAGACTTGGAACCAACACAAATGCCCACCAAAGATAGACTGGATAAAGAAAATGTGGCACATATACACTGAGGAATACTATACAGCCATAAAAAGGACAAGTTTATGTCCTTTGCAGGAACATGGATGAAGCTGGGAACCATCATTCTCAGCAAACTGATGTAAGAACAAAAAAACAAAACACCACATGTTCTCACTCATAAGTGGGTGTTGAACAATGAGAACACATGGACACAGGGAGGAGAACATCACACACTGGGCCATGTCATGGTGTGGGGGGATAGGGGATGGATATCGGGGGGTGACAAGCTAGAAGAGGGATAGTATTAAGAGAAATACCTAACGTAGATGACGTGGTGATGAATGCAGCAAACCACCATGGCACATGTTAACCTATGTGACAAACGTGCATGTTCTGAACATGTACCCCAGAATGTAAATTATAATAAGAAGAAGAAGAAAAGAAAAGAAAAAAGGATCTGGCCACTCCTGAAATGTTTCTAAGAATGTCAGTAGAGAAGAGAGCAGTCCAGTAAGGTCAGATATAAAAGAGTAGGGTCACTCACACTTGGTTTTTCTCAACTCCTCCAAAAGGCAGCAGGCTTCCTCTTGAACACGGTCCTCAATGCTCCTCTTTCCCATCCCAAAATTCCGCAGGGTCATGAGGGAGAAACGCCGGGTCTCCTTCCACCTGTTTCCATTGCTGAAAATCATTCCTAACAGGAAGAGAAACATAAACTAGGAGGAAGATCCCAGGCAAGAAAGGAAGCTGACACTGAGCAGCCACATAGATGGGCCAAGCTCTGCCCAAGCTCTGCAAGTCTTTGTTTTCCATCCTCCCCACCCTGAAGACCAATGCTGAAACAGGCACATTCACACCTACCATATCCTCTGTTAGCTCTTTCAGCCACTGGGAAATGGCCTCTTCCAGAAAACTCATCCCCACGATCAATCAGGGCTTCCTTCACTACATCATATCCATGCAGCACCACTGTGCGTTCCAGGCCAAAATACAGAGTGAACACAGGGCCATAAACTTTTGAGAACTAGAAAAGGAGATAGAGATAACAGCAAATGAAGTCACTATTTTGTCCGCTTTTGTGCACTTACTGAGCCTGACTAATATTTTCATTGTATTTGTATGCTTTTATTCAGCCACATAGGCTTCAAATATTTCTGAATTTTATATATAAACATGATGATGGCTATTATGCTGAACTTTATATATAAACATGATTATGATTAATCATTGTTATAATATAATAATTGTTATATATAATATTATAATGATGATTAATTTACTTGCCACTCAGGTGGTCTATGATGCAAAAGGCAATGGTTAAACAATTGCTACACAGATTACAATTAATCCTCACATCAACATATTCAGCAGGTCTATTGCTCTATTTTTAACAAAGAAACTGAGCTCAGAGAATGACAAATTTATTTTCAGTATCCCACAGCTAACCCAAATTTGAAACTTTACTTATTCAAACAGTGATGCTTGAGAAATTTATCAGCACTCTTGTGTCCACCTTAAGACCAATATCCAGTTTCAAGAACTAACAATTTCCTGGTATAATAGCCTTTTACGACTAACATGCATCATAGCATTCATAGTAAAAATACCTCTCTATGACTCCACCTCAGACTCCCAAAAAATCCACATAGAGGCCCCCATTGCTGGATCAATGGTCCTCACAGCAGTACACCTAAAATTAGGTGGCTATGGGATTATACGAATCACCATAATCCTTAACCCCCTAACAGAGTTTATAGCTTATTTCTCATACTATCCCTATGAAGAATAATCTAACAAGCTCCATTTGTGCCAAACTAATCTAAATTCACTCATTTCTTACTGTTCCATAAGCCATACGGCACTTGTTATCATAGGTATTTTCTTTCGAATGCCCTGAAGTTTTACAGGTGCAACCACCCTAATAATTGCCCATGGACTAACCTCATCCCTATTAGTCTGCCTTGCAAAATCAAACTACAAACGAGTTCATGGCCAAACCATACTACTAACTTGGGGGCTCCAAACACTTCTCCCCCAATAGCCATGTGATGACTCCTAACTAGCCTTGCCAACCTTGCCCTTCCACATAACATCAATCTAGTAGGAGTACTCCTCATAACTATAGCCTCGTTCACTTGAGCTAATCATACCATCATGCTTATAAGACTTAATATACTAATCACAGACCTTTACTCTCTATATATGCTAATTGTTACACAGCAAGGGCTATTCATACATTATATTAACACTTTTAAACCATCTTTCACTTGAGAAAATACCCTATACTTATATATCTTCCACCCCTCTTCCTACTATTACTAAACCCTAAGGTCATTTGGGGGTTTATATATTGTAGCTCTAGTTTAATTAAAACATTAGTTTGTGGATCTAATAATGGAAGTCTATAATGTCTTATCTACCACTTATCTGCTTTTGCTGGTCCTGAACCCACAGCTATTTCTTTGACAACAGGCATAAATTAATTCTTCAGAGAAGTTCAATTTTCACAGCTATTCTGAATAAAACACATGGTTAATATAGTACAGGGCTTATTTAATGAAATCTCTAATAACTAACACGTTCCTTACCATTTACCATCAGCCAAAAATTATAGCAAATGGCTATAAAGTGAAGAAGGAACAAAGCACTTCAAATTATTGCCACTTTGTTATTTTGAATCTAACATGCAAAAACCAACATCTTTTTCTACTCACAAAATGATTCCGCTATTTCTGACACTGACAAACTGGAAAAGGCAACAAAAGCCTTTCAAAGTATCTTACTTTACAATGATCTCTTGTAACAATGTACCTCTAGGAATATACTTTATTTGAAAATAAGGTGAATTTACTTACGTTTTGCAAGCCACTGAAGGAGCATACTTACATTGGTTAAGGATTTGGTGATGTCCTTAATATCTATCTGTAGGAGATTTCCAACAATTGGGAGAGGAGTGGGGCCAGGAGGGAGTTTTCCTCTTTTAGAGCTCTGTTTCCAGAGTGAAAGGAGAAGCAAACAGGAGAGAGAGAGCACAAGGACCACAAAGGGATCCATTGAAGCTTTCTCTTCTTACTAAGACAACTGTGAGATTGCACTCCAAGCCTTTTATAACACTCTATGCTAATTCAGTGTGTGTCTCTTTGACGTATAAAGTGACCAATCACCTAGGTCCACTATATGACTCTCTTCTGAAAGAACTTTGACCCACTGATAAAGATAAAAATAAAACATCCTTTGATCTTGTTCTCCTTCATTCCAGTACCCACTCTGTACATTCTGGTTTCTTTGTACTTGGTTGGAGCCTAGGTATTGGTAATTTTTAAAAAAACTTTAACCTAAGTGGTTCCAATGCACCATCATAATTGAAAGCATTAAAGTAAATAATCCGATGCAAAAAAAAAATCATTCAAAATTCTGAATTCTTAATAATCAGTTGGGAATTCATGATTTTGAGGAAAATTGATGTGCCTTGTATATTTAAAAAGTATGTCAATGCTATATCAAAGATTAGGAGACTTTGTCCTTTAAAATGAAATCCTTTCAAATATTATAATATAGCCTACTAAAAATACAGCAGCCTAAATATGAAATAACTAATATAACTCATACATCTTAAATAACCAAACATATATCAAGTAAATTAGCTTAGCAGATATAAACACTTCTATCATTAAACCCCATTAAAAAACATGTGAAGGTAGGAATTGTTATTTTTTATTTTATTTTTCAAATGAGAAATGGGAGATCCTGGGCAAACAGGACACCTGTTGGTGCCACACAGCTCATAGCTGGCAGAACTAGGATTGGAGCTGAGGTCTTCTGATGCCCATTGTGATGCATTATCTCATATACCAGAGCTGCCTTAAGAACAATTTTAGCAAAACAAAACAAACTTCCAAACATTAGTTATTCTGAATATACACCACATTGATTCTGTTTATAAAACAGGCTTCACATTAAATAGAACCCTTTATTTGTCTGTAAGAAATACAGCACCAGAGATGCTCATGAGAAGAAATTAATTCTACCTTCTCCATCACTGCAGAGGTGAAATGCTCAGTGTAACTGAGGGAAGAGCCAATCTCAGAGAATTTGGTGCTAAGGGATTGAGAAACTAGGGCTTCTCGACCTCCCAGTCACCTCCAGACATGGCTGCTTTCTATGGTTTTTGGTCTCTTATTTTCAGAGATAATGTAATAATGCACGGCAACCAAAGGAAATTATGAACAGAAGAGTTGTGGATGCAATCAAGGATGGGAGGTAGGGAAATCAGTAAATGGACCTACAGCACAGAACCATCCCAATGTATAGACCTTAACAGGAGCTGACATTTTGAGTTGAGGATCTAAACACAACTAGAAAGATACACATTACTAGATCACTAATGACAATACTTATGCAAAACCATTTTTAAATATAGTATCATATTTGTTCTAAATTGCTTAGTGGGGTTGTTTCCAGTTCTCTTACTAAGAAAAATAAAGTTATGTTAAGACACAGTTACACATTGCTTTACTGTTCATTCTTAACAGGGATTATAACAATTTACAGAGAATTTTCACACCTCATGTCCCTTTGGAATCTTTCAATTACCTTTGCTTACAATAAAATTGATCCATTTCAGGAATGTGAGACCTGAGCCTTAAGATTCATAACCTTAGCCAAGAACATGGTGTCTGCTAGTGCTACAGCTGAGACTGGAACCCATAACCCCTGTGTCTTGAAGGTTTCATTTCAAGCAAAACATTCAGTTCAGTTGAGTCCACCAATATTTACTGATTGTGTACAATCATTCAGTATTTCATGATTCAGTCTAGTAAATGATTTTCAAAATAAACATTAATTTCATCAATAATGACGGCCTCAGTTGACTAGATTGGGAGGTCAGAAGAGTTTGGTTTTATAACCTTTAATACTTGGATGAGTCCAAGGCCTTGGAGAACCCTTTATAAAGGGCAAATAAAAGCAGTAACTTGGTCTTTGACTCACATAACTCTAAACTCCAACAGAAATACACTACCTGGTTTTGAGTAAAATAAGATCAGTGGCTCTCTTTAGAATAATCATTTCATTCCTCTAGCACTAGGTGTCCCAGTTCTGTTCCTCTTCTCTTCTGCTGAGCTGAGACTCCTACATAGACCTTTCAATTTATAGAATGAAATAATTATAATTTGTAAACAGATGGGATCTCTGAGATCAACTACTCTAAACTTTCCTTTTTTTTTTTTTTTTTAGAAATGAGCAATTGTTGATTCAGTGAGACAAAGGATCATGATGCAACATTATAAGACTTTTTCTTAGAATCCAAGTTTTTCAACTCCCAGTTCAGTAACATGTCACATCCCATCTCATAGAATTCACATCTCAGTCCAGTGATCAGGGGAGTATCAACATTAAGCCCTCCACAGTCACTGAGTATTACAAACCTCAGCTTGACAGCTTGGCTACAATAGTGGATTAGAGTAAGCTTTTAAAAAATTTATTTCTTAACAGCAGTTTTGGGTTACCAGCAACACTAAGTGGAAAGTATATAATTACCACATGCCCCTTTCCCTGCACTGACACACAGCCTCTCTCACAATCAAGAACTCTCATTAGTGTGGTTAATTAGTTACAATCAATGAACCAAAATTGACATATCATTATCAACCAAAACTCATAGTTTATGTGGGATTCATTCTTTGTGTTGTACATTCTATGGGACTTAACTAATGCATAATGACATGTATCTGCCATTGTAGCATCACATATAATAGTTTTACTGCCCTTAAAACCCTCTGTGCTCTACCTGTTCACTCTCCCTTTCTTGCAAGCCCTAGCAACAAATAATCTTTGCAGTGTCAGCATAGTTTTGCCTTTTCCAAAATGTCATATAATTGGAATCATACAATATGCAGACTTTGAAGATGTAACTTACTAATATGTATAAAGTTTCTCCATGTCTTTTCATGGCTTGATAGTTCGTTTCTTAACACTAAATAACATTTATTGTATAGGTTTACTGCATTGTTTATTCATTCATCTATTGAAGTTAGAATTTCATTATTCTAGTTAGAATTTCGTCTAACCTTTTTCCAAGGTATTGTTTCTTTGCATTGGGTTAGAACATGTTCCTTTAGCTCACAGAAGTTTGTTATTACCCACCTTCTGAAGCCTGCTTCTGTCAATTTGTCAAACTCATTTTCCATCCTGTTTTGTTTCCTTGCTGGTGAGGAGTTGTGATCCCTTGGAGGACGAGAGGCATTCTGGTCTTGGATGATTTCATCCTTTTTGCACTGGTTTCTCCCCATCTTCATGGGTTTATCTACCTTTGATTTTTGAAGTTGGTGATTTGGGATGTGGTCTCTGCTTGGACGTCCTGTCTGTTAATGTTGAATCACCCATGAGGGTTGCAGATCAGCAAGTATTGCTGCATGATCTTTCCTCTGGTAGCTTTGTCTCAGAAGGGTACCCACCAGATGACAGCCAGAGCTGTTCTGTATGAGGTGTCTTTTTAGTTATACAGGGGTCAGGGAGCCACTTGAGGAGGCAGTCTGTCCCTTGTCTGCCTACAGAGGCACTGCTTGGCTGTCACGGACTCAGTCCAGCTGCTGTGTAAGCTTCCTCTGGCTTTTGCTTACACAAGTAGGTATAAGCCTACCACAGCAATGGTGGACATCCTTACCCCCACCAAGCTCGATCATCCCAGATCGAGCTCAAACTGATGGACTGGCTGTGAAACTCTCAAGCCAGAGGGCTTCAGTTTGCTTGTCTTTTTGGGAGTGGGACCCACCCAGCCATATCACCTGTCTCCCTGCTTTCAGCTCCCCCCCTTTCTGGTGAGGAGGTAGCTCCGCCCCACAGGCACAGTGCTAGTCAAAACATTCACCCAGATGGCATCTGCTGGAGCTGCCACTCAGATCTATGTTTGCAACTCATGGTGCTTTTCAGCCCAGCAAGGATCTCCTGGTCTGTGGGTTGCAGAGAGCATGGGTGAAGTGTAGCATCTGAACCAGAGGGCCAAAGGGGGGAAGCCCCTGATTCTCCAGTCAGTTGCACTTCCTGGATGAGGCAGCACCCCATCCTGCCATGGTTTGCCCTCCTTGGGCTACAGCCACATTCAGTCCCATTGAAATTAACCTGGTACCTCAATTGGAAATGCAGAGATCACTCACCTTCTGTGTGTCTGTCACTGGGAGCTGCACTCCAGAGCTGTTCCTATACAGCCATAAATTCTCCCAAATCTAATCTGTCCTTTTTTTTTTTTTTTTTTTTGAGATTTGAATTCAGGTTTATTAGGCTCAAAATTCCTTTAATAAGCCATCTTTATTTTTTAGTGCACATTATTTTATTTTTTTTTCCCTTCACAAATTATTTTTATTGTACTTTAGGTTCTGGGGTACACATGCAGATCATGCAAGATTGTTGCATAGGTACATACATGGCAATGTAGTTTGTTGCTTCCATCCTCTGGTCACCTATATCTGGCATTTCTCCACATATTATCCCTCCCCAACCACCCCACCCCACAATGTCCCTCCCCTGTCCCTCCAACAAACCCCAGTGTGTGATGTTCCCCTCCCTGTGTCAATATGTTCTCATTGTTCAACATCCACCTGTGAGTGAGAACATGCAGTGTTTGATTTTCCGTTCTTGTGTCAGTTTGTTGAGAATGATGGTTTCCAGATTCATCCATGTCCCTACGAAAGACACGAACTCAGCTTTTTTACGGCTGCATGGTATTCCATGATGTATATGTGCCACATTTTCCTTGTCCAGTCTGTCATTGATGGGCATTTGGGTTGATTCCAGGGCTTTGCTATTGTAAACAGTGCTGCAGTGAACATATGTGTTCATGTGTCATTTTAACAGAATGATTTACAATCCTTTGGATATATACCTAGTAATGGGATTGCTGAGTCAAATGGAATTTCTATTTCTAAATCCTTGAGGAATTGCCACACTGTCTTCCACAATGGTTGAACAAATTTACACTCCCACCAACAGTGTAAAAATGTTCCTATTTCTCCACATCCTCTCCAGTGTCTGTAGTCTCCAGATTTTTTAATGATAGCCATTATAACCAGAATGAGATGGTATCTCAATGTAGTTTCGATTTGCATTTCTCTAATGACCAGTGATGATGAGCATTTTTTCATGTTTGTTGGCCTCATATATGTCTT